CAGCGCTGACTGCACCCCCCATTCCCTGCCCCTGCGCCACTGGGGGAGGAGGTAGAGATATCGGGAGCAGAGCTGAGCCCGGGGAGAAGGGAGGGGTGGGGGGAAGGTGTTCTCAAGATGTGGCAATGCTTCTCACTGTCCTACTCTGTTATGTGTTGTTAGTGTCTGTAATAAATATATGTTCTCTTTTTCTTCCCCTAACGAGTCTGCCTTTTGCTTGTGATCATAAAAGGGGGATTTTCCCCCATCCCAGTCCTATCTTGAACCCCAAGCCTGGCTCTCTGTCCCTTCTCATTGCCGGAGGGGAAGGGAGAGAGAGGTGCTGCATTGTGGTTGGCTGCCAATCAGGCCCAAACCACGACACAGGCACAGCCCCAGCCGCTGCCGCCGGGCCAGGCAGGGATGTAGCGGCTCCTGCAACACCTTCCCTGTCACGGGTGGGAGGCTGGGCTGAGTGGGACGGTACGCCGGAGATGGCACGGTTCTTTTCTGTTTACATGGAAGCAAAAGGAGTCTTGAAAGGAATGTGTTTACCCACACATTCATTGCTTTGCATCTACGCTCTGCCTGTGTCAGGCCCGCGCAATGCAGCAGAGCGAAAGAAATTAACAGGAGAATGAGGAAGACTTGACACGGGGGCCAAGGAAACCTGCAGTTGTAGTACTGCCTCTTCCCTGTGCCGTGGGGAAGAGGAGAGCCTGACCCTCGGGCACCAACCGCATCGGCCAAACCGCTGTCACTGCACAGGGTGATGCGAGTGCTTCCCTCCTCGGCCGCGGGCTCAGCAGGGTCTCTGCACAAAAAGCTGCTTTCCCCCTGCTGCGAGTTAACGGAGGCAGGCCGGCAGGGTTAGACCAGGTGCAGCGGTGCGGCACGGGAGGAAGGAGAGCCGGGCGCAAGCTCGCTGCTCGGAGGTTTTCAGTGGAGTCCCTCCGCAGCTGCAGACGCTGAGGATGCTGCCAGTGCTGGCAGAGCGGCTTCTCGCTCGTTAAGTAAGTGTAAGGTAGAGCCAACTCTGCCCTCTCATTCTAGCTCTGATCCACCCGACATCTTATGCCCTCTACCCCATCAACCGATTGGATTAATTGCCGTGAAGCTGGGATGAGAGGGGAGGAGAACTGGGAGCAGATGAAAGCTTTTGTGCTGCTTCCATTCACCCTCAGACCATTCCCCCTTGCCTTGCCGAGCGCTCCTGGGCTTGCCACGTCTCCCGTGCTACTTCGTCATCTGCTGGCATGGCTGTGGAAAGTTCTCATCTTTGCCACAAATAAAGGAAATTAAAATCTGATGAGAAGCCCTGCCAGAAGCCTTTGTTTTTAAGCTAGCTGTTGCAGCCTGATGTAAATGTGTTGGGAGGAAAATGACGGTTTTACTCCTGCGACAGCTGAGCAGTCATTCATACCTGGTGCATCAAGGCTGAGATACCCCATTGCTTTCAGGGAAGGATCTATTTTAAACTCCTCTCTTAGCCAGTATTTTTGTAGACGAAAGTAAAAAGCTTGAGGCTAAACTTGATCCTCGCAGGCTGCACATTTCAGTACTGGAAGGCTGTGACTCAGTGGCCTCTGGAAGCTCTCCAAACTATCAGTAGCTCAAAGGAGGAATTAAAAACTCAACGAGCTGCCTGTTCTCCTGAAACTTGTTTTGTCCATGCTATGGAAGAGATGAGAGATTTGAAAGAAGGCAGCCTTGTCCAAGAATCATTGGCTATAACAAGTCACAGCAAGCAATGAATATTTATTTTATTAAAATGCTTAGGCATCTTTTCATGAGCTTTTTACCAAGTCTATGTGGAAGAATTTGCCAGAATACCATGTACACTACAATAAATCCCAAGGTACCTAATAGGCTTCCCCACTTGGTCTTCTGTCCCTGACAGTCTCTATCTAGAGACATCAGAATACCTGTTTTCTCCCCCAAAATGGGAAGGAGAGACTGAGCAGAATTTCTGATGTTTTTCCAGGCTGTTGGAAAAGCTGATGCGAACAGAGATATGTCCTGTGACAGCCTGTGAAACCAGGCTTGAGGGTGGCAGGAGGAATCTCACAAAGATGAGGCTGAGGCTGAATGTTAGACTCAGGCAATCAGTTCATCAGAGCTTGGGGAAGAAGATGAACCCTCGGGTTAATCCTCTGCTTCCAGACAAGAGCGGTCTTTGTTTCACTCTACAGTCTTAGTCCCCCGGTCTGCCCTGCTGTCATCCCAAATCCATGGCGGGTGGGTATCTTGGACCTGTCCATCCCTGATTACTGCCCAAGACACGAGAGAGCAAAATGAGCACCTCCGATTGAAACAGGAAACAGACTCAAAATTTCTGGGCATTTCAGGAAATCACCCAGGAAAAGAGCTCTAGTACTCGCTGAAAACAGAGCTTGCAAGCCCAACTCAGGGAGTGAAGTGAGTGATCTGCTCTTAGGAGTGCCTCACTTGAAAAAGGAGAACCTTGGGAAAAGACCCCACCATGGCTTGGTGCCTTCCGATGCGGCCTGTCAGCGTGCATTCCCGATCACAACCAGGAAACATCTTCCCACCCTTTTTGCCACATTTTCCCAGTTCTCAAGAGCAAGGGTTGGCTGAGCTGGACCACCCAAGAAAGTGACTCAGTGAAGGGATCCTTCCAACTGAAGCTAAAGCCATTGCTTTCATGCTTGCTGTGGGTACTAGGACATGGTACTGCTGCTCCTCAGAGGTGTGTTGTGAAGTGATCAGCCCAGGACAGAAATCTTATCAGAGAAAGACATTTTGGTTGCCTTTAGAAAGGTGGAATTTGTCATCTTCTCAAAGGACATCTCCAGCTAGAGGAGCTGGAGATCTCTTCACCAACAAAGCAGAGATAAAGATTTCTATCAGGCTTCGTACCCAACAGCCAGAACTGGTAAGAAGGTGTTCAACTGCCCCTTTGTAGATTCCTTGGTCATAAAATGCTCATTTGCTGAAACTAAAATATTTTTCTAGGAATGTGTTCATTTAAACAAAGATTTAGCCAGAAGAGGCTTTCTGCTTCCAAAAGAGGGAATTTCTGGTTAATGGGGCGAGAGGGAATCACTTAATCTGACGACCAGCTCGGTGAGTTTGAGCTCTCAGCTGAAATACAGCAGAACCCGGGTCATGTCCTTGTTCCAGCAAATGCATCCTGCTCATTTGAAGCGGAACAGCCCCATCAGGAATGACTCACACAAGGATCGGCTGGGTCCTCATCGTGCCTTGGCACAGGGAAAACACTGAGCCTGAAAATCTGCTATTCTAGGCAAATTCTCTGGCCGTTGGTTGTTGGCTGTCCAGACCAAGTCTGTAAGGTGACAAACCAACATGCTGGCAGGGACAAAAGTCCCTTGCTCTAGAGAACCTACAACCAGCCCCAGCCGGAATGAAGCTTGGCTGTTTCCAAGTCTGTTGTGATGAACATCAGCACTCGTGCTGCAGCGTGATTGACTTTGAAGGGACAAACTCTCTTTTTTAATTTTGTTTGTTTGTTTGTTTGTTTGTTTGTTTTTTGTTTTGTTTTGTTTTGGTTGTGGTTTTTTTTTTTTTTTTTTTTTTTTTAGTTTTGTTCACTTCCACATATTTGCCTGAGGACTGAAGTTGTATGGAAGGTTCACACTCGCCAAACCATGCATGTAGACAACTGTACATCAGTTTCCTGGAAGTTACTAGAGCAGCAAAATTTGAGCTCACTTGTGCAGGCCAAAAGGAGGTGCTGATTTCTCAAACTAACCTGCCTTGACTTCTGCTCCTCTTCTCCCCCTCCGTAAATGTAAAGTATTGTTTTTATTCTAGCCTTTCACCTATGCAAATACTTTTCCACGGCCAGTATGCAACCAGTTATCGAGGGAGCAGATGTTTTTCACAGTAATGCAACAAGCAGTCTTCTTTTTTCCCTTCCTTTCCCCTAAAGATAAGTTTTGTCTCATGACGATTCCATGTTCAAGTCTTCCATCTTCCCATGTGGCAGAGATTGTCCCCTTAAGGGGACGCGCCTTGCAAACGCACAGGGGAGGAAGACTATAAATCGGCCTGACAGAGGTGGGTAAGCAAATTGGCTGTGGTGTCCCAGCTGCCGGCGCTCCCCGGGCCGTTCGGAGGCTGGCAGGGCAGTGGCTGGCGGGGCAGGCGGCTGCAGTTCGCTTGCTCCGCATCCGGCGTGCGCTGCCGCGCTCGGGAGGGCTCCACGTGCCTGCGGGGTCGGTCACCACGAGAGGCAGGCAGAGCCATTGCATCCCCAAGAATAATCTTCCGTCCAAGGGGTAAAAAAAAAAAAAAAAAAAAAACAAAAAAAAAAAAAAAACAAACCAAAAAAAACCTGTGCATCATCCAATTCCTTAATCTTGCCGCATGGCTGGGTGAGCTTCAGCCTTCGGTAAAGGGTTTCCTCTTTACCATTGCCAGTGATAGCGTGAGTCCCAGCTGCAAGTGCAGCCCTTTGGAAAGCCTCACCTCCACAACCCCCACCCAAGCAAGACCTTGCAGGTGAGCGGCTGCGACCGCATGCCTCCAGGGGCCTTGCAGCTGTAGGGGCACTAATTGTTCCTATTTGTAGATACGGCTGGAAAAAAAATCCTACGAAGCGGTTTTTGTTCTTGTTCTCTTTTGCCAGTTTGCCACAATCACCAGGTGGCTGCCCTCCTTGTGGAGCCTGTCGAAATGTCGGGGAGAAAAAAGGGAAAGAGTTCACTTCCAGTATATTCCCTGCTCCTTCCAGCTTCTACTTACAGGGTGTGGGAATGCCTTGAGGTTCCTCTAGGAGACATATGTGGAGCTAACGTTACTGCAATGAGAAAACCGTCGCCAATTTTTGCAAAAAGCTCGGATTTCTTCACCGTGCTTCTTGTGAACAACCTGTGGGTTTTTTTCTTGTGTTTATTCCAGCTGGAAGAAGAGGGTGGTGCCACAGATATTTCTCTTCTTATTGACTCCTAGGCTGGAGGCACAGTTCGTCAGCATGCGTGGAAGACAAGTATTAGCGAACAATCTTTCAAAAGCATCTCTCTTCTTTATTTCAGAGTCTCCTGAAATTGGGCCCTCGGTTGTAGTTCACACAACTGTGATGTTTGGAAGCAAGCACCTGGATTCAGACCCTGCAGAGGTGCAGCAGTTAATTCTCAGCCACCTGGAGAGGATTGTGCCGTCCCTACCTAAACTAGCCAGCATCAAGTGTCATAAATGGAGATACTCTCAGGTATTCTGTGCTGGGAGGATGCTGCTGGGGCAATGCCATGTACTGACTTGCTGTGTATCGCAAGAAACAGGACATCATACAACCCGGTGGTTTTCATCCTTGGAGAGCAAGAGGAAAGGGGGTGGTTGCTCGATATCCGTCCTAAGTTCCTCCACGTAGCCATGAGCAGCATCCAGGGCTGGTCAACAACAGCCAGATCATCTCTAGTCACCTTTTCACATAGTGGACCTGGCTCAGCAGTAAGTTATGCAGGACTCCGGGTAAGGAGGGCGTGCAGTGCACAGGAAGGAAGTAAATCCCACGTACTTCAGTGGGATTTTCGCTGGTATTTAAAAATATGACTCAATCTGTCTCTTCTGTATCTGAGAGCATGTGATATTATTAGCAAAATTCCCACCCTACCACAGAGTAGCAGAAGTCCTTGCGTTCAGATGTACTAATCGTCATTATTTGATTTGGCCAAGTTCTATTTAACAGTATGTTATGCAAAAAATATTTTAAAGTAAACTACCTAAGGGTAATAATAGCAAAATGTGTATATTTTACAGACTTCTTTTAAAAATCCAAGGAAATTGTTGGCAATTTCCTAAAGTATTGGAGTGTATCTACATGTTTATCCAAAGCCTCTTAAGTTAAATTACATTGGTGAAATTGAATGTGGAAGTTGATGCAAAATATTTACTTAAAGGAGTCCCGTAAAAATTTTTCCTTTTATGAAGTCTGGAAAAGTTACTGTAGATGACTGTTGTGAAGTCTGCTCATAGTCCTTGATCTGCATCCAATTTAGGAACCTGATCTCGTTAGCACAAAGTTTATTTTTCTGCAAGTTAGGTACTGGCAGTTTGCAAATCACTTCCCAGTGCATAGTATTTGTTCTCAGTTGTCGTATAAAAACAACTTTAACATAGGTTTTGATGTTTCAGATAACTCATACAAAAATCATGACATGTTTTATATGTTCCTCTTTATCAGCTCAGGGGGGTTTTTTGCTGGTAGCAGTATCTTTGTGCAGTTGTCATTGTTAAGCACCCTTTTCTGGCTGTGACTTCTGGTCTTCTGCATTATCTGTTACCTTTCTGCTTAAAACTGCTTGCGAGCACAAGAGCTGCAGGTGGTAGAGGAGAAGAATTGGATCTATCTCCAACAGACAGACCAGCTCTGGAAAGGGCTTCCAAAACAAAGTAAGAAGTATTTTTAAACAGAATTAATGCACCCTAGATACTGCTACTTCATTTATGTGTGCAAGAAAAGGGCTTAATATGACTTTTCCTTGCACTACTCACACTTTTAGCATAGTGTTAAAGGTGGCATATAAGCATATGCATCATATATGGCCTGTCCTGATTTATTTCACCATGAAAACTTGGATAAAGGAAGAGACAAGAACAGCAGTTAATTTCTTACCACTAAATACAAGAAAAAAAGTCTCAATTCCATTCTACTGAACAACTATGCTTTTTGAATCCTGGCAAAATTATGATCACAGAGGATTTATTATAACCTTGTACCTATTGCTTCAACTTCTAGAGGTAGCCGGAACAGTGACTGTAGGAATGAACTCTTATTTTCCACAATTGCTTCAAAAGTGTTGTCTTCCTAAATCACTGGGTGTGCATCCTGTTTCCCCTATTTACAAAGTACATTCAGATATCATACTGCTGGAAGATGCTCTATTATTTTCTTAAACTGTTGTACAATTTACAGCTCTTCCCGCTTTCTTCTCCTGCCTCTGTTGCCTGCTGCTGACCAGGATGCTACTGGCTAAAACCACCAACTTCAGCAGCTGCTTGTACTTTATGTCTGCATCACAGGAAGAATTATCACCAGTCTTTAATTCAGTGGACAAATGTCAATATGTCTAAGATTGCAAATAAGTCAGTGTAGGTGAGATCGGTTATCTCAATAAAGAGATCTCTATTGCTACCCCATAAAATAATCACTGCCTAAATTAAATATCTGGGACAGAGCTCCATCTTTCTCTTAAAACTACCTTTACTTTCAGTTATAATAAGCTGTTGCCACAGAAGCAGAGGGAACCGATAAGATGGCTGCATCTTTCCCCTGACTCTTTTAGTCGGGATTTATCCTGCTTGTTAATTAAATCCGGCTCTAATGTCCTTCACATGGCCAAACACAATCCTGGGATTAAAATGCAGACATTACAATTATCCACGGCGCATGGGGGATTAGGACTTTGAAACTTCTACTGACACTACTTAGCAGTACAGCTGCAATTCTGGATCCCCTGCTTTAATTACGATAAGACTTTATTAGATTCAGAGCTAACAGCTTCCTAGCCCATCACATCCCTTTGACAGAGACACTTTATGCATATAAGGAATACTGGGAAAACACAGAATCATAGAAATTGGACCTCTCCAGAGGGGACCTCAGAAGGGACCTTTTCAGGTCTGTAGTCCAACCTGCTGTTGAAAGCAGAACGGTCGCCAGCACTAGGTGACCTCGACCATGGTTTTGTCCAGCTGAGTCTTGAATTCTTTGAGACGGAGATAACGACAGGCTGTGCCATGTAGCTGAGGGTAATTTGGAATGCATGTTGGACAACACTTTCAGAAGAACTTCCCTTCCCCAGTGTCTAGAGTGAGGGCCTTTACTACACTGAGCACACAGTCTTGCCACACGGGCAAAAAGATGCAGGCTGACATGTGAAAGTATTGATCCTGTGATCAGTATGACAGACCAGTAGCTGTTTGGTACAGGCAGCATCAATAATAAGCACTGGGTAATCAAGAAGGAAGGACACTCCAAAAGCCTTTTTCTGCTAAACCTTTCTTCATTGTTTATGCTCAGTGGCCTCAATCTGTAAGAAAAATTTAAGAATAAATGAAGTACTGACCTAAAATTAGTCTGAGAAAGACAATCTCTGGCTGGATTTACTGTACATGGCTAGACTCTTCTGTTAAGTTGAATAATGGAGAATGGGTCGCAACTGGCTACAAATTCATTTCAGATAATTACCTCCTTCAGTGCGATGCCAACATTCCAGTAACACAAAATGCAGCCAGTAACATAAATGTGGGTGTTTTGCAGCTGATCTGTGCTGGGAAATGGCAGATCACGACACGGCCAGCTGAGTGTACATTTGAATCAGTGGAGAAATCCCCTGGACTGAACAAGATGCCTTGGACTTTAGGTCTTGTTCACTGAAGCTGACAGTCGCACGATGGGATGCAGTAACGGTTTACTGCACAGGAATCCAAAACATATCTTTCGACCAAAGGCAGAAAGTCAAGAAATGATCAAAAGAAAATTGCGCTCTCTGTATCATGCTTTATGATCTCTATGGTTTGATCTCTGTTGCTGGTCTGCTGCTGTGCTTTCTGCTCTTTTTTCCCCTTCCTCTCCGGCTTTTTAGGTATTTTTTCCTAAAAACAATTTCAAGATATCGTCCTTACAGGTCTTGTTTTGTCATTCCTTTTCTCAGACTGTATCTTTGCACCATCCTCCTCCGATCACTTCATCCTCAAGCTGTCCTGCATCTTCTTACCTTTTTTTATCCCTTCAGCCTGAGCCTGGCCTTGCCCTCACATTTACTTGTTAGCCCGTGCTGCTGCTGCTGCCTTACATCCATCCTGAGATTCTGTGGTGCTGCTCTGGGATGCACTGCTTTGGTACAACATGGACCCTCACCCTTTGTGCGTAGGTTTGAAACAGGCTACAACAACGTGTGACACAGCCGGGCGTGGTAAAAACACGGGCGCTGTGTGCTTTTACTCTGCTGTTTGGCACGCATTGGTGTTTGTCACGAAGCACAGTACTGAAAGAAGTCTTGTTCTCCCCGTGAGTTCCAGGTGGCTTCGGGTTACTAGGTACTGGCAAAGTCCATTCACTTTTAGAAATGTTACACAGGACTGCTCAAGAGCTGCCATTCCACAGATACAAGTTTAATTTAAGGTAGAGTGTCAGGAAGGTCATGTTTTAAGTGAATACAATGCATACATTGACAATGACATTAAATATTTATCAAAGCAGCTTTATTCAGAACTTGTCCTGTGCTACTTACAGCAAAAGTGTTGATTGTATCTCTAGCAGTGTCTAAAAATTGTTGTGCTACTCCGATGAAAAAGGAGACCAGCGTGGCAGAGCTGGAGACAGGATGAGTTGTCCCAAGGCTGTATGTATGCTTGCACGGCAGCGGGAAGTATGGGCAGGTCATCATGACAGTCACTACTCTGAAGTCCACCTCACCTCCCGTCCAGGAAGGTCACCTGGTCGACCCAATCGTGTTGCAGGTTCTCTTGGAAATGGCAGGCTCCCTTTCCTTTGTCGAACGGTCACTTATCTGGGGGTTTTTGCAAGACCACCTTTGCTGATGTGAGATCGTGTATCTTCATACCTTTTAGCTTAGAGATCTCCATGCCTCATCTATCCAGGGTCAGGCAATTTATTTCTGCCGAGATGGACTGAGAATAAGACAGGACGGGGCTGTAAACATTCTAAATTTCCACATACAGGAATGCTTTATTCTAATTATTTAACTCCAGAATATAAATATTTTACTATGGTACTTCGATTGTTAATGCTTGGATCTATGATCTGGGATGAGAGGAGTGCTTCGTATGAAGGTGTGTTTCTCAGGAATATGGACTTTTCTGGCATGAAACTCAGATAAATAAAATACTTTATTTTCCGTCACCCTATATGCTTTTCTTTTTCAGGTTACACAAGCTGTGCCCGATTGTCCAGGACAAATGATTCTTCATACTCAACCTCTCCTGATTTGTGGGGGTGATGGATTTACTCATTCCAACTTCGATGGCTGCATAGATTCTGCTATGAGTCTTGCAGAGGCTGTGAAGTCTCATTTATAGCAATTTCAAAGTCGGCTGCTAAACTTAGTCTAGATTTATGACAAAATTTACTATGATGGATTGAATTCTGGTTTAGTGTTAACATCATTAGCCTCTATCTTGCAAAAATAAATAAAGGGAGGTCTATTGGTGTGCTGTAATAATTATTGGGATGGAATTGCATTGAATTTTCCAGGATCTGTGCTGTGAGTGGTTACTTTGCTCGAAGTAAAGCTTTTTCTGGCTCTACTCAGAAGCGCTGAGCTCTAGCAGTCTTGCTAGGTCTCCTGCTACTTTTACAGCCCATGAAAATTATGTCAAGGAGAGGAGCCTGACTGGAAGCAGCACGAAACTCCATGGAGCTGCAGAGTTTACTCCTTTGCTGAGCACTTGGAGCCCTGAAAGTAACAGACGGAATATGCACAATTGATCCCAGAGCTTTCATACATACCTGTGGTCATTTATTTTGATGCAGATCAGCTCTGGTCATGGTGGTTGTGTTGGTCATGGGGCGTCAGTGATGAGGCATGCCTTGGGATGCTTCTCAAGTTGGATGGCCTATGCAAGGTCTAACCAAATCAACTCAAGGTCTGACCATGTCTCCAGGCGTGGACAGCTTTTAAGTGAGGGATAGTATTTGTCTGCCAGCCAGCTTCCTAGCCCACAGTTTTCTGGAGCCCTGGTTACAGATTGCTTGAAGAGCTCGTTGATGATGTTGGTGACAATTATGTGCTGCTGAAACATGGTACCTGTCCTGGGTGCAGTCTAGGCAGCATCAGCCCAGCTGTGCTCATAAAAGAAAGAACGGAGAGAAGGTGAAAGAGAAGGTGTGCGTGTTTCTAGCGCTCTCATAGCAACAGGGCTGATACTCCAAAGTCATCTTGGGAACAGACATTGACATCGGGGCTGTAACGTGAGTTTAACATAGTAAAGCAGACTGGCCAGGAAAGTGGATGAGCTGCAAACAGTTCAGTATTTGCCAGGTTAGAGAGTTGCCGGTGCATCGTGGCTCTCAGCTGGTCCAGGGTCCCCTGAGCAAGGAGCAGCCCTCTCCTCCTTCCAGGTGGGGAGGAGTCGGGGTAGGAGCAGCCAATACAGAAGGTGGTGTTGTGGTTTGGACCTGGTTGGCAGCCAACCACAATGCAGCAGCTCTCTCTCCCTTCCCCTCCGGCAATGAGAAGGGACAGAGAGCCAGGCTTGGGGTTCAAGATAGGACTGGGATGGGGGAAAATCCCCCTTTTATGATCATGAGCAAAAGGCAGGCTCCTTAGGGGAAGGAAAAAAGAACATATATTTATTACAGACACTAACAACACATAACAGAGTAGGACAGTGAGAAGCATTGCCCCATCTTGAGAACACCTTCCCCCCACCCCTCCCTTCTTCCCAGGCTCACCTCTGCTCCCGATATCTCTACCTCCTCCCTCAGAGGTGCAGGGGCAGGGAATGGAGGGTGCAGTCAGCGCTGCCACTTCCTTCATGTTCGGTGAGGGGAGTGTCCGAAACTTGTTCCTCCTGCTCCATCGTGGTCCCCCTCTCACAGGAGACAGTCCTCCACAAACTTTCTCTGACGAGTCCCTCCCACAGGCCGCAGCATTCCCCACACTGCTCCGTCATGGGTCACTAACTTCCTCTGACTGGATTCCCTCCCATGGCTGCAGCCCTTCCCGAGCTGCTCCGGCGTGGGACACCCCCGCATGCTGCAATCCTCCCAGCGCTGAATTACAGCAGCGGGGGCTACCTTTTCCCACGAGACCCCGGCCTTCTTTGGGCACAGCACCTTGATTATCTGAGCAGGAGCCACAGGCCATAAATCAATGTCTGCTCCACCGTAGATCTTCATGGGTGGCAGGGGGGGGCCGCCCTGCCGTCTCCCCACAGGATACAGGGGGGGTCTCTTCTCCGGCACACCTCCCCCCTCCTTTCTTCCTCCGTTCCTCCACTGACCTTGGTGTTCATGCAGCTGCAGCAGCTCCTCCTCACCAGTCCCACTGCCCGTCAACACGTCCCTTCTTAAATACGTTATCACAGAGGCGCAGCTGATGGGCTCAATTTCCCAAACAGAAGTGGAGCTGATGTGGAGCTGGGGGAGCTTCGAGAAGCTTCTCACAGGGGGCCGCCCCGATAGCCCCCTCCCCTGCCACCAAAAAACTCCACCACTCACTCAACCCAGGACAGGTGGTTTAGCTGCTTTGCCTGGCAAATGCTAAGAGGAAAGAGGGAAAAGAGTTTATCTAAGTGTGGTCCGTGGCAGCGTGTTAGTAAGAAAGCTGTGCTGACATTTCAGGCTTAGGGTTACATCACCACCACCATCAAAACTCATTTAAAGTAAACAGCCAGTCTGAAAGTGAGGTGAATTCTAGACAGCTTATTTTGGCAGAACAGGTGTAGAAACAGAGGGAGAGGTCCAGGGAAGGATATAAACACACATGTGAGTGAATGAACAAGGAATTTTATTTGAAATACTAAAAAAATAATAAGTTTAATTACGTTGAAAATACTACCTGTCATGGTTTCAAGTATTTCTAAGCTACTAAACTGTGTTTCTGTGAAGTCAATTTTGAAATTACCCAGAAATTAACCAAGAAATCGTTTATTTATTCTAAATTTGATTTTAGCTTGCCCTTCCTCTTAAATCACGTCACAAGTTTAGTACCTCTCTTTACAACAGCACTAAAAATAACAAAATTCTATTTTCAGCAGACAGAATTTTAACCATTAGACAAGTACAATTCAGCCTCTTTTTCCTATACTCTCGCATTTCACAAAAATCCAACATCCTCTACTCACAGCAACTGAACACAGTCATTTACTGCTGCGTTTGACTGTTTCTAATGCAGTATTTTAAGTGACACTAAGAACTTTAAAACTTAATTTTAAAAACATCTTTGAAGGATGCTTCGTAATACCATGTGGGTTTGTTGATTTTTTTTTTCTTTTTTTCCATGAAGTCCTTGAGTTTAAAACTAGGTGTTGTTACTGTGTCTGAACCAGCGAGCTCCAAACCCTCAGTGTTGTGGCAGGAACAGGAAGGATTGGTAGTCATGTATGGGAACAAATCTTTTACAAAGGCATGTGAGATCCATGATCAGGGTAGCCATGAAAAGCCACATCATCATGGAAGAAAGGAGCAGGTGGGCTCCAAAGAGTCATGATGCGCTCACAGGGGCCTTCTATCAGCAGCAGCCTTCAATACCACAAGTGACAGATAACTGAAGATGTCTCTGACCCCATCCTTCCAGCAATCTTAGAGCTTTGGTCAGTATGAGACCTCAGAATACCTGATAATAAGCAAATCGCAGATACAGAGATTTTTCAAATAACGACATTTTCGATTCAGAGGGTTTTGAACATGAAGCACATTGAGTCTAAAGTTGCTTCCATCCCTCGCCGTATCAAAATGCCTCTTTCCTATCGCCTCCTCCCAGATTAAAATGATTTAAAAAAAAATGACTTGTTTTTTTAAGGTGGAGTAGGAAAGTTCACGGCCATGCCTCTCTGGATGCGCTCCAGAAAGCGGGTGCTTAAAGGTCTCTGTGGCAGTATCTCATTTGCTAGATGTGAGGAGGGAGACAGTAGTGTCAACGCTCCCACGCAAGGCGGGTAACGAGTGGTGATGTTTCAAAGAGGCCACTGTATGCGAAAGGGTGGCAACAGAAGAGACTTGTCTGGTTGATTTCCTGGGCTTTTCCCTGGATGGATGTAATTTTTGATTAACTGGCAGATCCATCCATTACAACCGCTCTCTCTTTGCTCCCAAACAAGGGGTATATGGTTGCGTCTGATCTCCTGTATGTCACAAGCCACAGCTAATGCCCAAAGTTGGATTAAAGCATATCAGCGCTCGCATGACGATGTCATTGTCTTCCTCATCACAAGGAAAGACAGGGCCATAAATGCTCACAGCTGTGCTAACTTCCACCCAGTGAAGATGGCTTTGCAGGGCTGGCCCGTGGCATCCCGTGCAGTCACTGTTTTTACGATATACTCAGCTGCATGAGGTGCATTCTGTTGACCTCTGAGCACTTAACCACCTTTAGGTCTCCAACAGCAATCTTCTCCTGGTAGTTACCGTCCCACCAACACCTGGCATCAGCTGCATGTTTCACCAGGATAGATTTTCTATTATTGGCCAAACAGCAGACTGGGTGTTGGCAGGAAGGCTTGATCAAAACAGCTACACCTTGACATGTCCTGGGAACAGAGAGGTTGTGAGATTCGTGGCTCAGCCAGGTGTGATGCACCCAACACTTGCCTCATCAGCACCATGCAAGGCAATATTTGCCTCGCAACTGTCACGTGGTCCTCAATCAAATGCCTTTAAGAAAGCCAAGCATGCTTTTCTGAGCCATCGGACCCTGTACTCTGCCACCCCTTCCCCTCACAGACCGCCCTTGGTGATCTTTGCAGCCCTTTCTTCTTTCTAGGAGGTGCCTGAACTGAGCACCATGTGCATCCACGCTGTGCAGAGGTTTTTGGAGGCTGCACTGACTGAAACCTTGGGCATGGGCAATGACATATCTGGTGCTCTTCTGCGCAGCGGACAGGACACGTGGCACAGTGTCTATGCTGCTGACACCATGTCATGGGTGCTAAGGCAGACCTGCCATATCCCAGTGGATTTGGGAGGAGGCCCTGGCTAGAAGTCATGGCACACCGTCTCTTCTTGAGGGTCATCCCTCTGGCACGGGGTTAGGGCCCCGTGGGCAAGGATCTGACCCTGCCGGCTCTCTACCCATTCCTGGCATCTGACCCTGCTCGCAGATCCCTGAGATGGAGTAAAAATGCTGTGAAGTGGCTAAAGGCCTTTTGGAATCCAGGTGTTACAGGAAGACGCAGGACTCTGCTGG